TTAGTAAATATATACATACACAGTTACTATAAGGTTATGCAAATAAAACTTACAATTAAGAGACCAATGTCCACATCTTTGTTGGTCATAAAAAGTTCTCTGATTTGTTTAGATTGCAAAATTTCTTTATTGATATATTTGGAATAATCATTGACCTGCTTGCCATATTTACAAGGCATTAGAGATGTGTAGTTGGGTCCACACGCGTATAGGTAAAAGGCTTCTTGTGCACCAATCTTAGGTCCTGAAAACAGAAAAATCAAGTTAGCTTTTTAAAATATTCTAATTAGAAATTTTTACAAGAGAATTTTTTGTCAGGTTATATTGCTTACTATGTCTTATGAAATTAATAAGCCTCAATCTTCAAATTGCTATAATGAAAAAATAATGAATGTCAACTCTGATGGAAGACAAATATATTTAAAGCTAATTTTGAGACTTGATAAATTAATAAAATTTCTATTTACTTCTTAACATAGAAGATAGGTGTTTTGTTTTGTACTACTGTATTTTAAACAAAAGGAAAGTGTCTTGGTAGATTTCATTTCAAAATATAATCTCAATTGATATATTTTTATTATTTTTTCAATTGATTTATTCCTTCCTTCCATTCATCTAAATTATCTATGCAATAAATGCTATCTGAATGCTATTTTGAACCAGATTTATAAATATATTTTAAATATGATTAATTTATTCCCTAAAATTTTCTATTTATATGGAATATATTAATATTACAAATACAAGGAAAATATCTAAGTTTAATATTCATAATATGGCATTTCCCATGACTGTAAAATATTGTTGCTGTAATACCAGCTTCTCTTTGCTGGTGAGTGGAGGAAAAAGTAGGGGGTGTGCTTCTACACAGACTGTATTTACCAATTGTTAGATATATCTGAATTTAAAAGTGCATCTTAATTAAAAATAACAGTACTTAATAAATATAGTTGACAACATAGCAATGATTTTAGCTAGACAATTTACTTTATTTAATCTTTATGAAGAGGGCAGGCAGGAAAAACATACCGTTGAAGAGGAGCAAATTTCCCAGGTCCCATTTTCCAGCCAATTGCAAACACTCTTCTTGGGATGATAAACAGTGGCCAATCATACAAAATGTTTTATTACTATCGGATGACAAAGTTGTTTTTCTTGGAAGTATATAATCCAAAGTAACGTCAGTCTTTCTGTGTTGAAAAACCAAAGTTAAAAATCAATCACTTTAGTGAGTACTATATAGTACAAAATGATTTTTAAAGATCAGAATGTTTAACAATGGGAAATTATGAGTAATTCCTGGTTCAGAGTCAGGTGCCTGGCGGTAGGGAGGGAGAGTAGGTTGATTCTACAGTCTCTTGGTCAGAGGAGAACTGGCAACTCAGCAGCAACAGGGCAGGGAGCAGAGCAGAGATGCCCGAGAAGCCCACAACAACCAGGAGCGGCGGTGTGACCAAACATTTGTTGTCAGTTTCCTTGCCATTTGAATTCAGAATATGTTTTGCTCTGGTTTATTGCCACAAAGGAGAAAGAAGATTCTCTTGTGAAATTTGCCAAGAAGTCTCCCATCCTACCAAGCAATTCCTAGAATCGTGTGCTTTTAACCAGGCCTTAAAAGGCTAATCAGAAAGTAGCACTTCTCCAACTTTTGCCCCGTCTCGCTACTAAAATACCAAGGATTTTTGTATTTTCTGTTTCTTCAAGGCTGAGTGATCATAGTGATTTTGATTTGGCTCCATTATTTTTCCTAATTATTTTCTCTGGGGGTAAAGTTTACAGAAATGCTTACAAAGTACTCAGAGGTAAACTAAAGCTTTCTCGTGGAAACACAAACAGAAGCTGCAAAGACGTCACCACTAGTGAGGCTGCAAGTCCCACCCCTCCTTCGGGAATGTTCTGAACTCCAAACTAAGATAGTGAGAGTAACCAGTAATGACAAAATCCATAGTAAGTGTGGAAAAAAGGGGAAGATTTGAAATAAGCTCTCAATAAGAAATTCTTCTTCGATACATATTTATTTCTTTTCTTTTTTTTTAAAATTTATTTATTTATTTAATTTTATTTTTTTAATATTTTATTAGGGGCTCATACAACTGTTATCCCAATCCATACACACATCAATTGTGTAAAGCACA